AGGCAGCAGCTTCAAGGTGCCGCCAGCTCTGGCTACTGGCACCCAGCAGGATCAGGCTTATCACTGCTGCACCCTCCAGGGCAGGGACTCTGGCTCTCAGGATGAGCTCCCCCTACCCTCTGCTTCCCAGACCATAACACAAGCTCCAGACCAAAGATCCACATCTGTGGAATATCCTTTCTGCCTTCATTCTGTATCCCGTGCACTTATTATTGTCCTTATTAAACCAGTTTTGATACTAACTTCACTGGTGCCTCCCTTCATCTGTGGTGACCTTATCGCCTTCCTTGCTATGTCTGGCAGTGCCCCAGCCACAAAATCCCATCCTCCCCACTCTCAGCAGGATTTTCCAGCACCTCTGGGATCCCTGGATTAACTAGCTGGTACTTTGCTGCTCACTGTGGCTAACGCACAAAGCCATCTCCTATCCACCTGGTCCCACACAGCCTGCAGGAGGATGCAAAGCTTCCTCTCCAGCCCAGCAACAACTCATTTGGAGACAAAAGCAGAACGGTACCCTTGCCAAAGCTGGTTTTGCTGCAGCCCTTCCTGCCCATCAAACGTCCTCTGCCTACGTGTCCAGGCAGCAGCAAATCCCACAGGCTGGGCAGTGAGGAAGTGGCAAGGGAGGGCAGGCACGCTGCCACCTTGCCTTGGACCCGGCTCTCTGTAAGACGTTCTGCTCTGCTCTCCTCCCATGCAGCCTAAAGTGCCCCGGTATTTACTGTCACACAGTGGTCTCACTTAAGGCTGGCGAGACACGTTTTAATTAGAGAAGCGGCATCTGATAATCAGCACTAATTGTCTGTAGTCCCATGCGAGAGCCACAGACTGGGAGGTGCTGAGCCACATAACCCAGCCCAAAACCCATCCTCCCTCCGCACTGCCTTCCCCTGCCTTGTTTTCTGAGTAGAGTTCAGTGTGGAAATGTCAGAGTAATGGGTAACCTGGCTGGAATGCACCAGAAGATTAAGTGAGGTGAGATAAGGGGGGAAAGTCAGAGGAGACAACTCCTTATTGGAAGAGACAACTCCTTATTGCTGGCAGGGATGCTGGCTCAGGGGCGCACCTGTGCTGGCTTCCCGTGCCACCTCTTCGTGTGGTACCGCTCCTGTGTGCTGCTGTGAGAGCAGCCAAGAGGAACTGCTGGTCAAACCCATGCCCTGAGGTTCCCAAACCTAACCTTTAATTATGCGCTTTTGTGGCACTGAATGCCACATCGATCTTCCCCTTCCTCCCTCCCTCTCAGTAACTCAGATGCAGGAAGAAACAGTGCATTGTGAAGAGATTACACAACCATCCCCCAAGTAGTCACATAGTGTCCTCCTCCTGAACCCCAGCTACAGCCCTCTCTGCATTACCTACTATCTGTTCAACCCCACATCCTGGTCTGACCTGGAGAAGCATCTGGTGTTATCTGGGAGCTATTTCCATCCAACAAGAGCTCCTTTTCTACTGGCAGAAAAACCTTGGGTTTTGTCGGTGTCTTGCAAAGAGTCACAGAGCAAAGAATCTCACAGAAGCCAAAGCAGCTGCAGCAAGCAGTCTCCCACTGCTTGGGTTTTTATTAGAGCTAGGAAGCAGCAGCCATTAGTCCAGCTTGAAGGAGGTGACCCTGAAGCCTCCCTTGACACTCATGTAGTTGACCTTGTCATAGCAGTGCCGGTTGGGGAACTCCACTTTGTGGTCATCCGGTAGTTTCACTTGAAATTTGTCTGCCTTCATTTCAATGACAATCTGGGAGCAGAGAAGGGAGGAAGGGTAGGAAGTCAGGACAAGGAGAAGATTAGGAGGTGAGCATCCAGGTGATAATCCTGACTGTTATATGTGAGAGATAGACCTGGTTGCTGCAGCCTTAAGCAAGGTGCTGGGGGTTGAGCTGAGGGTGATGCAGGAAATGAGCAGTTGATGTCAAGGGTCTGAGCTGGTATCTAGACTATGACATGGGGACAGTATCTCTCGTGGGGCTTTTTCACCTACTCAGATTCTAAACTTGAGGCAGTTAAACCCAAGTGTGTCTTTACTTGCCACATTGCTTAGATATGCTCTGAACAGGGCAGAATAAACCTGACACCCCAAAGCCCTCAGCATCTCACCGGGACCTGGGAAAAAGAGATTTGCTGACAAACACACACAAACCATCAGGATGAGAACGCATGGCTGAGCATTGTAAATTAAAGTGACCATTCCCCAAAGGTGTCACCTTGCAACTCCTTCCCCAAGAACCAGACATAACTGAGGAAATAAGCTTCCTCTCCACAGCAATAGGAACAGGACTGCTCCTAAATGCAGCCCTGTTAATGTCTCAGGTCATCAGATGGGGTGAGAGAGCAACAAGGACAACATGCCTGGCAGAAGGAAAGGGAGGACAAGCTGGGAGAGAAACAAGGCAGAGAGCAGCAAGATCCTGCTTCTTGGAGCCCCCCTTTATCTTCATACTGCCCTTCTGCTGGGCAGGGATGGGGGGCAGGAAGTAATTCCAAAGTCTGGAACAGATAGGACTCACACAAAGTTCCCAGAGGAAGCATTGGAGTTTTGAAGGCAGAGGGGAAATGGCAATCAGGACCCAAAATCAAGAGGATGAGGGGCTGTTGGATGGGAGCGGGAGGACCAGGGTATGGGAATCTGCTAACCAAGGGCTTCCCCCCACCACATACACACCCCACAACCCCATGCTGGCACAAACTGCTCACCTTGATAGTGGAGCCCCTAGAGAAACAGAGGTGGTCATCACGATGCTCTTCTTGCCAGGCTTTATTGCATTTGGAGTTGCAGACGATGACAGACTCATTGAAGCGGGGATTGAAGTGAAGTGCCAGGTCTGAAGAGCTGCAGCCAAGATTGATGCTGAAGCTGTGGGTGAACAGGAGAAAAAGTCAGCCACAGAGGCAGGACAGGGTCTTGGAGGACCCGAGATCCAACATAACACCTCTATATTCAATTCCTCCATCAGCATTGCAGGTACTTAATGCCTCCTCTTTCCTCAATCTGCTCAGGAACCAAGGGAGTTTGCATTGTGGTGATGGTGTAGAATCCCCTAACACTGAGCTATGCTCACACTTTTTGTGCTTGATGACCTTGGAAAACAACCTGCCTCTACAGCCCACCTTCAGTCCTGGCAAGTTGAGGTGGTTTCTTTGTACTTACCCATCAGTATCATCAGATATCTTGCCCTTGACCTTCAGAGTGTCCCCAGTCTTCATATCTAGGTTGAAGATTTCAAATTTTTCCTAAGGCAGAAAGAAAAGCAGTCTGCAGGGCTCCTTCAGCCATTCCTCCCCTGCCACCCCAAGTGAGTGGGTGCCGCATGGAGAAGGTGCCCCAGACTGAAGAACAACTACTGCTCTCAGCTGGTGTTCCTCTCATGGCCAAAACCCCTCTGTGCTGGATGTCTTCCGTAGGCTTCTCACTCAGTGAGGGAAGAATAGGCTGAGTGAGGCCAAAAAGTGAGAAAAGACATCAGACAGAGAGGAGATGAAAACAGGCTTATCCTCAGCAGAAGGAAAGGAGAGCAGGACAGCAGAGGTACAAAGAGGGTTAATGCACAGGGGCACAACCCAGGCTTTGGCATGCAGCATCGCCTGCAGCCCGAGAAAGTCAAGTAGTGAGAGCAGAGCTGGCTGTGGTTTGCTGGTCTCTGTGTGACAGACGACAGGAGCAGCAGCCCTTACAGTCATCTTCCTCAGAGGGCAGAGTAACCAAGCACGGAGCCACGAGCAGTTTAGCTCAGAAATGCTTCACACAGAGGAGCTTACATCCCTAGACTTGATTTCAGCTTACACATTAACAGCACCGCCTCTGCAAGGCCCCCACAACAGCTACTAATGCAGGAAACTTTGATCCAAAGAAATAGCTTCCCTCTGTACACTTCCTCTTACTAAGGACTTCAGGAGATTTAAACAATTTCCAGTCCCTTGGTGGGCTCCCAGTGGAGGGACCACCACAGGCAGCCCTTAGGAGTGCTTCTCCAGACACCATATAGGACAATCATCTTCCCAACTGGCCATGAAGGTGTGACCATCATGTCCACTTCTTTTCTGTGTGTAACAGCTCAGCCAAAAGAAGGATCCTAGTTTCTTTCTTTTTTAGCAGGGAGCAGCCCCCAAAATCCACACCATCACACCAGAATGGTCCCTACCATCACTCCCCATGGTGCTCTGAGGGGTCCAAGGGTGTTGGATAAGATGGAAGCCAATGCATCCCCTCTAGATGAAACAACCTATGAACAGCCCTTTGCAGGAGTAATGAGTGGAATTCCAGCTCCTTCCCTTCTTGTGGCTCTAGATTCAGTCCCAAGCTGCGTGGATTGCAGCAGCAATACATGGGAGCTCTCTGCAACCTCTCATCCAAGCTCCATCAAGACACAAACCTTTCAGCTTGAGAAGCCATGCACATCAGGTTCAATCACAAAATGTTAGGGGTTGGAAGGGACCTCCAAAGATCATCTAGTCCAAACCCCAACAGCCCCATCCTCCCTAACTGAGATATGGGAACATTGTCCTCAGAGGAGAGCATCACCCCTGCTGTCTTCTTCCCAAATAAGAGCTACAAGTCAGTAGGCAGTGTCCCAGATTTGGCTGAACAAATTGGTGTTTTGCCAGACTCCAGAAGTCAGTGGGAAAGAGAGAGGGAGGAGGAGGAGGCCAAGGCTCAGGACACCAGGAGTCCCTCAGCTTCCCCCCTGCCATGCCCTGCAGGAAGCAGCTGAGTGCCGTCACCCTGCTGCTACACAGCCAGATGGGAGACAGCTTCTGCCCTTCCCCAAAACCTCCTGAAGCAAGCAAAGGTGAGTGCTGATAAGCACTCCTTTCCCGGAGGTGCTTCCTATTAGCAGGAGGTCATAAAGCCCAACAGGCCTGGAAAATTTGTTTGCTGTTGAGGTCACTGAAGCTGTTGATGAAACCTCCCAGGGCTGAGCATGGAGCCAACAGAAGCAGGTGCTGAGGATGGTGGTTTCTGGCACTGGATCTGTCTCCTATCATGCTGCTGTGTTTCACACGCATACATCTTCACACCACCCTGCTCCCCTGCAGCCATCCCAAGGAGAACACAGAGCCCAGAGCCTCCCTCTCAAAATATCAGAGCATCCTACTGGCTATGAGAGGTTTCTCCTTCCAGCAACTCATGTTGTCCCTTTGCAGGGACAAGAGCAGTACAAAGAAATGTTTTCATTATCTGAACTCACTTTATGCCAGCAGGGAGAAACAAACACTTCTAGGGCTCAAGAGATTACATCCCAAACCAGAGCCTAAACACAGAAAAATCCTGTCCTACGTAGCTCACCAAAGTCACACAGAAATGTTGTGGCAGACGCAAGACCCAGGTCCCGGACCAGTAACATAAAGGAGCCTTTCCCCAACTTTCCACACAGACTAGAGAGAAAAATCACTTTCACTGGGATTTATCCACTGATCCCAATGTCAGAGACTGAGGCTGCCCAGGAGCAAGAGCAGTGTCTGTCTGAGAGATGGCAAAAACTACCCATGCGGGGAGTTATGTGAGAAGCCACAAGTACCACGGATGTGAGAACACGCAGGGAGGGAGACGGGCAGGAAAGAGGCACGAGCTGCTCAGAGAGGGGCTGTGAGATTTTATCAAGATGACATTAACCCCCCTCCTACAATGCTCAGCAGGGGCGTTCACCCCCCTTTTATTTGCCACTGGGAACAATAGTGGGAAACCAGGCAGCAACTCTGCCAGTGCTGGCGACTTCCTTCGTCTGCGGAGTGGAGCCTCCGCACGGTCAGACACCAGCCCCGTGCAGATGGCCTCCCATGCAGGGCTCTGTGCTCCCCACAGAGGAACGGGCCAAGACTTAAGGGACCCCAGAAGAGCGAAAATTCTCCAGTGCAATTGGAGGTGGCCATTGGGATGATGAAAGGAGGGTGAAGTGAGCAGGCTGATACTTCCCTGTGGATACCACAAAGCCTGGGGAAATGGTGATATTATGGGAATGTTGTTCTGCCAATTGATGGGGTCAGCAGAAAGGATGCAGACTAACAAAAGAGTAGGCTTATTTTATTATCTATTTCAAGGTATTACAAAAATATGGTAATGCATTTAGTTAAAATAGTAAGCTTATTATACTCTAGTTTTAAGCAGCAAAGAAAATATACAGGATAATGCACCTAATCATTACTACACAAAGTTAGCTATAGAGATTAAGAGTCATCACGAACTGTCCTCATACTTTACCATTATCAAGATCTGCTGTCGCTGGGGAGCCCTGGTTGCAGCGAGGATTTGGAGAGCCTGTTGCAGCAACTGGGAGGTCCTATGCAGTGTATCCACTCTTAGGTGAGGTCTCCAAAGATGCTGCAAGAGGGTCCAGCTTTTATACAGTTGAATAGACATATTTCAAAACTTCAAGTGTGGAAAGCTCTGGTGTCACTTCTCCTTTTAGATTCCACCCAAAGTGTGGCCAGAGCTCAGGGAGGAATCCAAGGCAGTTTCTCTATCTAATTTGGCTTTCCAGACATTTAGTTTCAAGTTTCTCTATCTATTTTAGCTTTCCAGATGTCTAGTTTCATGGCTTTGCGACATGCCTCTAAATAAAGATTGTTCTGCTGGTTACCATTACACACTAAGCATTAGAGCAAAGCTTTTATAGATTGGCATCAATATATATATATATTTTCATACTACAATAGATCAGTGATGCATTACATATGTGATTTATACATATTAAATATATTGTTCTGTTGTGACGTTCACCTAGAGGTCAACTTTAATTCAGGGCCTACTGTTCAGACCTCAGTACTTCAGAATGTATATCCCAAAGGAAAGGGAAATCCGGACATCAGGAGGTGGAGGGTCTCTGTAGTGAGGAAAATATAAGCAATGGCTGGCAGCCACCAGTGCAAGGGATTCAGGAAATCTTCACCCCTACAGAAATGACCCTGTAACAGGGTACCTGCTGGCAAGGGCCTCTCCAGGGTCCCATACAGGGTTCATCCTGGCCAAGGGCAGTCAGCCTGTACTGGTGTGGGACACTCAGGTTGACACCACTTTGTTGCATCCCCAGGGGGTGCCTTGGGACAGCAGAGACCCGACAAGCAGTCACTGCTCCAAGGATGGGGCCCATGTCCAAACCGAGGGCAAGGCTAGCTTCTAATAGGGAGCAGGCAGGCCTGCAATTTTGCATAGAGAAATGAAAAAACCCACAATTTTTTAAGGAGGGAAGAGACCAATGCAACCATGTTGGCTTTTAGCCAGAAAGGTGGCAAGGCCAGTTCCTCCACAGATTGCTTTCAACCCATAAAATACGGCAATTCCATTTGCAGAGGTCCCATAAGGTAGGTTTTAGGGTCAACAGTCCTTCCCAGCTTTTCTGCTTGTCCTGGGGAGATCTCAGGCCATCAAGAGCACCCATGGGATCTCAGGACCCTGAGGGTGGCTCCATACAGCAGGACCTCATGTACCACAACCTAGAGCTACCACCGCTACCACAGGGCACCCACACAGCTGTTGAGAACAGACTGAATGCCATCCTGCCCAGCAGGCTGCCAAGATCCTCGGCAGCATCATTGCTGGCAGCAGTATTTATTTTCTTTTCTTACTCAGGGAGGAGATAAGGCAGCTAGGTGTGAAGCCTTGAGGAAAACCACAGGCTTCTCCGCTTCCCAGCCTAGGTAGCCCAACTGCATGAGCTGTGAGAGGTTTTTCAGGGCCTTTTGTGGCAGAGGAGAGCCCTCGAAAGCCACAGCAGCACACCAGAATGGCCCCCACCCACCCCACCCTCCCAGTGGTGCTCTGAGAAAGGGCTTCAAGGGGTTCAGAGGAAAGGTCAGTCAACGTGTCCTCTCTAGATGACACAAGCTATGGATAGACCCTCACAGGAGCGACATGGATCTTCACCAGAAGTCATGCACAGCCCAGAAGGGAAGAGGGAGAGAGGGAAAGGCGAGGTGGCCATGCCAGCCCAGTGAGAAGAGGAAAGGTTTCCCCTTAACACCCTGATGAAAGGCTCCAGGTTCAGCTTGGCACTAATTAGTGGCACCGGAGGAGGAGGACGCTGTAGAGGGAAAAGTTGCCTGTCCCATTTTGCACCGAAGGCACCAGGGAGCCTGTGCTGTGAACCAGGGACCAGCATCCGCTCAAGGCAAAGGGAGCTGGAGAGAGCAACCGCGCATTCTTTCTCGGAGTAGCAGCTGCTCACTCTGCTATTATTTCCTACTGCTTCATATAATTTGTACTCCACAGCAAGCTATTGTGCCTTTCCACTGGCTAT